ACGAGTAGACGCAGACAATGTCACAACATCTCCCCTAGACATATAAGAACCTTTAGTTTACCAACCATGACTTTAACGAGACTTTAATGTAAATATGTAAATAAGACAGAACCATGACGGTATGCTGATGGGGTTGTTTTTATTCAATAAAAACTTATGATATAAACGGTCTTTTTTAAATTTTTGATGTGAGTTATTGTTTTGTTACTTGTCCCTGAAAGTTATGTAACTCGGTATCCTGTATAAGAGGCATGACTGAAATCAAAATCAACCATTTAAAATACTGGATCCGAGTTGGAAACAGCTCTTTACGGCATTGATCGGTAGCCCACCCAGGCGTGGTATTCAGGGAATACTATAAACACCGCCGTATAAGAACCCTATACCATGTCCGGTGAATGTTTTTGTCTTCAGTGCTGTGGATGGGATTCCAGTGAGAGCACGGGAATGTCGGATCAAACGGAAACTGGTCTTGATATTGGACCAGATGAAGTGAGAGTGTATCCTGTACAGATGATCAGTACCTTTCATGAGACTAATCAAGGGGAGATGAATCTAGGTTATGAGAGAGTGTTTGTACAGCGACCTATAGGTGGAACCTTTATTGAACCCCTTGATGAGACACCACAACCATCCAACCAAGCTTCTGACAGGGACAGTGACATCAGGTTCCATGATGAGGAGGAAAGGTTGCAAACATTTTCAGGGTGTTGGTCCGACGTCTACCCGGTCGACCCTATCAGTTTGGCTAAAAATGGTTTTATCTTCATTGGACCTGGCGACCTTGTCAAGTGTATTTTCTGTTTGAATACGTTGAGAGGTTGGGAAATGGGTGATGTGGTAGAAGAAGAACATCGACGCTATTATCCAGACTGTCCTTTTGTACAGGCTGCACATTCACACACACACACACACACACACACACACACACACAGGAGTTGTTTTAAGTGAATAAAATTTTTATATTCATTTAAATGATCTTTTGTGATCCTTACCACCACCTTACCACCACCTTACCGCCTTACCACCACCTTACCACCACCTTACCACCACCTTACCACCTTACCACCACCTTACTAAGGTGTGACAACTTTCCCATCCAACTTTGAAGTCTTACGCGGTCAAAACATCGGTGTCTGTTATACAACGCAAACCAAACTTTTTCACTCAAACCAAAAAGCTCTCTCACACACACACACACACACACACACACACACACACACAAGTACAAAGCGAACTTGTAAAGACAAATAATATTGCATCGTTGAAAATTTCACCGACTCTAGTATAAAAACCATCCACCAACCCCTTCCAAAACATACATGTAACAACTTTGAAACCTGTCTTGTTGAAAACTTCACTGACCCTGGTATGAACTCACACACACACTCACACACACACACACACACACACACACACACACACACTCACTCACACTCAAACACACACACACAATCACAAAGCGAACTTGTAAAGACAAATAATCTTGCATCGTTGAAAATTTCACCGACTCTAGTATAAAAACCATCCACCAACCCCTTCCAAAACATACATGTAACAACTTTGAAACCTACCTAGGTGAAAACTTCACCGACCCTAGTATACATTCTACCCACAACAATTCCAAGAACATGTATGCACCAACATGCCTCAGTGTTAACAAAACTCCCCCGACCCTAGTATGAACTCTGCCCCTAACACTTCCAAAACATACATGTAGCAACTTTGAAACACACCTCGGTGAAAACTTCACCGACGGTAGTTTGAAACCTACCAACTCCAAAACATCTGTGTACCAACATCACTCGGTGAAAACAAAATCCTTCCCACTCTAGACTCGACCCCTAACACTTCCAAAACATGCCTGTATCAACTTTGTAACCTGCCTTGGTGAAAACTTCACCGACCCTGATATAAACTCTACACCAACCAACAACAAAACATTGCCTCGGTGAAAACCAAAAACCTATGATACTGTCCGTATAACTGTTAGTGGAAAGGACAGGACCCAACCAGGGGAAAAATCACTGATGCATAATAATAAATGTAATTAGGCGGGACATCATGCTGTGATGTCCCGTGGGTTGGATCAATATAATACCCATTAATCACTACGATGCGCGTGTCATGGTAACAGATGTTCCCACAGTTAACGCTGGCTTTGCGTTAATTACCATACCCCCCGGTGGGATCGGGTCGGCGAACAACGCATAAAAGCGGTGAAGCATAACCAATTTAATTATATGGGACACCATTTGATGGCCCAGCGGCTGCGATCAATATAAAGCCCATTAAAAACCGCTCAGCGTGTGTCAACAAAGGATCGCGGATCGATACGTAACAGCTGTCGCCTGATCGTTATCTTTAATGGATGTTATTCACAAAGTACACGGCTAGTGTTAGTCTTTTATTTAAACATACATACATTCAAACAAACCAACAAATTAAACATCAAAGAAAAGAAATATATTAAATAAATAAATAAACAAAGTAATTAAAATCAAATTACGTAACTAGTTAATAATAATTTAACTAATTATAAAATAAAATAAAATTAAAAATAAACAAAATAAAAATAATTAAAATCACATTACGTAACTATTGAATAAAAATTACACAATATAAACAAATAAACAACAAGTAAACAAACAAAGTAAACAATTTAAAATCAAACAAATAATCAAATTACGTAACTCGTTAATAAAAATTAATTAAAATTACAAAATTAAATTCAAACTCATTAAAATCCAATTACGTAACTAGGTCAATAAAAATTAATTAAAAAGTAAACAAATAATCAAATTACGTAACTCGTTAATAAAAATTACACAATATAAACAAAGTAATTAAATTAAACAACAAGTAAACAAACAAATTAAACAAACAAAACACAAACAAAGTAATTAAATTACGTAACTAATTAAAAAACTAATTAAAATTTAAAAAAATAAATTAAAACTAATTAAAAACGCATTAAAATTACGTAACAAGGTCAGTGATGACGTCACAAAGTCACTAATTACGTCACAAAGTCACTAATTACGTCACAAGGGCAATGATTACGTCACAAGGTCACCAAAAGGTGACCTACTTCCCCACCACCTCCGCCAACACCAGTTGGCGTAGTATTTTACTATATGTCTTTGCGCCACCCCCACATCCTGCTCACCCACCCTCCCCATCCCGATGCGCCAGGCTGGGAGTATTTTACTATATCTCTTTGCGCCACCCGCGCATCCTGCTCCCGAGTATTTTCCTATATGTCATTGTTCCTCCCCATCCCCACCTCCGCCAAAAATAATACCCAAAAGGGACCTAATATACTACTAATGTGGGGGAACAATTATTAAGTTTCTTGTATTTAACGTTTCTCATTAATTTATTACATTGCTAATTTGTTTAAATTGAATACTGAGTACCTGCACCTATTTTTTTAAAGTACTGCTTTTATCACTGTCCGACCCCCTCCCTGAAAGTACTGCTTTTATCACTGTCCGACCCCCTCCCTGAAAGTACTGCTTTTATCACTGTTCAACCCCCCCTCCCTGAAAGTACTGCTTTTATCACTGTCCAACCCCCCCCCCCCCCCCGAAAGTACTGCTTTTATCACTGTCCAACCCCCCCCCCCCTCCCTGAAAGTACTGCTGTTATCACTGTCCAACGCCCCCCCCCCCCGAAAGTACTGCTGTTATCACTGTCCAACCCCCCCCCCCCTCCCTGAAAGTACTGCTGTTATCACTGTCCAACCCCCCCCCTCCCTGAAAGTACTGCTGTTATCACTGTCCAACCCCCTCCCCCTAAAAGTACTGCTTTTATTACTGTCCACCCCCCCCCCTCCTTGAAAGAAACACTGATTGGTTTATGAGAACCGAAACCAACAGGTGCTGAAGTGTGATATGGTGGGGAAGGTGGGGGGGGGGGGGGTGCAATCGTATTACGTAAACCGAAAGTCTTTGTTATCGTGTCTGAAGAAATGAGGTCACATTGATTTGATATTTTCTGTGAAATTTATTTTTAAATGTGGCTGTTTCCAGTTTAGTCGTTTATAGAGAGGTGGTGTTTAGCAAGAGCTGAGGTTTTAGTTTCAGTTTGTTGGTGGTGTGTTTCTTGGTAGTGTGTTGATAGAGTGGCGTAGCGAGGTCGGGTGTCACCCGGTGCGGCACTTAATGGTGTCACCCCCTCAGAGGCGTAGCGACTCTTCCCGGGTACAAACTTTCAATTTTCGATTTGCGCCCCCCTTCAAACTTTCGATTTGCACCCCCTCTCCCTCAAACTTTCGATTTGCACCCCCCCCCCCTCAAATTTTTCTCTATATATTTTGCTATTTTTTGCCTTGGTGTCACCCCCCTAGATGGTGTCACCCGGTGCGGTATGCACCCCCCCCCCCCCCCCCGCCCCTGGATAGTGTGCTATAGCTCTTTATTTTTCTACGTATGTTGAAATTGTGTGAGTTCTGTTAATTACTGAGATTTTTGTATCAATTATCATAATATGTTTGGTGTGAGTTGTTAGTATGTTGACAGTACTCATTGCATTTATGTTGTTGATTTTTTCTATATGTCTGTATGCTGGGATTATGATCTTATGATTTCTATGAAACTCTATTAAACTATTAATCTCTTGTGGGTACCTAACTCATATTAGGGAAAGTAAAGACGGCTGGGCATAGTGCTGACCACACTACCCCTTATTTTGCGGAGGTCACAGAAACAGGTCAACTCTACTTCACTTGGCCGTCAGGTTTGAAATGGAACATTACGATTAAGTGTATTATATTCTATTACACTAACTTCGAAGCAATTCAATATTTTCACTGAAAATATCAGAGGCGTAGCGACCCTTCCCCCACCCCCATATATTTTTATATTATAATGGAAAACTGCAGCTAAAATGACCTTTTAATTTTTTTCAAACCCATTTTGGCGCCCCCTAGGCTCGGCGCCCGGGAACATATGTATCCCCCCCCCCCCCGCCCCCTCGCTACGCCTCTGGAAAATATATCAAAACGTACGTGTAAGTGGCGGTCTACTTCCAACGATCTGAAAAACAAAATATAACAAAATATAACAAATATAACAAAATATAAACACATATAACCAAATATAACCAAATATAACCAAATATAACAAAATATAACAAAATATAACAAAATATAACAAAATATAACAAAATATAACAAAATATAACAAAATATAACAAAATATAACAAAATATAACAAAATAATAAAATAACTGGTCTCTTGGTTTGCATTTTTATATTAGTTACTGCTATGTAAATAACTTTAATTTTTCAAATGACATTATTTTTTTATTAGTGCGATTAAAATATGACTTCATCCATAATTGTTTTTGTTTTGATGTGAAGCTTAATGTGTCCTGTTTTGTCTTTTAGTCGAGTCTTGAACTGACTTTCTTGTAATATGTTTCAATGCGTCCTTCAGTGGTTTAGTCTTGTGAAAAACAGGTCTGAGCGCCTTGTCCTTTTCCTAAAAAAATATGCACCCTTTACACAAATATTGACAGCTGCATGTAGGGGCCTACTTTGTTTCTTTCAAGCAGCTTTTCAAGAAAACGTAGACCCCCCCCCCCCCATACGACACACAATTTCCGGAGCACGAATTGTTATTGCCCATGGTGAGACGACCGGCCTTCAGGTTTGGAAACAGCTGCTCAGATTAAATTTGTATTTTTGAAAAGAATTCATAAAAAAGGTTTTAATAACTAGCTTTTATTTAATAATGCACTAAAAAGGAGAATAAAAAGGATTTTCTTTAAATATAAGGATGTAAGGGAGGGGGGGGGGGTAAAAATCGTCATTTATGGATGACCCCTTCAGAATACATTTCTTTTTTCCCAATCGAGCAAAGACATAATTTTAATAAAGCGAGAGTTATCTCCCCTAAACTTTCGCGAATATTCTTAAAATTTAAAACATTTCAAGGAGGGTGAGGGTGGGGTGACGCTTATTATGCGCTAGAAGAGGCTACCTATTATTCATTACAGGTAGCTACCTATTTTTCACTAGAAGATGCTAGAAAAGGCTACCTAATATTCGATAGAAAAAGCTACATGTTATGCGCCATCACCCGCTAATACTCTATTTAAACTACAACTCAATCGCTAACTAACAAGTCTTATTTTATATGTATCTTTAAAAATACAACACATAAACTGCCTCACTGCTTGTGTCTGTACGTCTATGCCCGTGTCGAAGCATGTATATGTCTATGCGTGTGTCTCTGTATGTCTATGCCTGTTTCTCTGTATGTCTATGCATGTGTCTCTGTATGTATATGTCTATGTTTGTTTCATTGTATGTAAATTTCTATGCCTGTATCTCGGTATGTCTATACCCGTATCTCTGTATGTCTATGTCTATGTATGTCTATGTCTGTGTTTCTGTATGTCTATGCCTGTGTGAACGCATCAACAGGTAAGACAAATAACAAACTAGTCTACCGAGGCTACATATGTTGGCTACTCACCAACTGGGTCAGCACAGCTAGTTGCGTGGCATTGAGCGCACAGCACTGGTCGCCTATGTGTGTCAGTGATTGCAACAAATCCAACTCATGAGCACAGGTCAACTTGTCGCACGGAACACAAACATACAACTCACTTTTGGTTACCTGAAAACATAGATAACTTAGGAGACTTTTGTATCACCTTCTCTTATGTTCTCGTTAGTTTATGTAAACATTATTATTGTATAACTGGATGACAAACTGATATCGCTATACATGTGAAGTTTAAAAAGCAATGTAAAAAAGCGCATTGGAGGAAAGTTAATGTGTAAGTAAGCAGTATGTCTTTGGGAATACTATAGAAGTTCATTAGTTTCCCTTTTCATTTAGTATACCGGTATCTAAAGGCTCCTCATATATATATATATATATATATATATATATATATATATATATATATATATATATATATATATATATATATATATATATATATATATATATATATATATATTATGTTTGTGTGTGTGTGTATTAATGAATTATGTGAGTGTGTTTGGGTGCGGGCGAGTGTGTATACATATTCATGTTTGTAAGCCTGTACGTGTGCGTTAGTTTGTATACCTAACCATGTGAACTCTGTATTAGTGTTGGCACAACCACATTTCTGGCGCAGTAGTGATGGGGAGGGGCAGAACCTACCTGTTTAACAGGGTGCCGGTGACCCGAATTAGCCACACAAACGGCAGCGATACCCAGCACCGCCGCCAATGTCGAAAGCAGCAATGGAAAGTATCTACTGTGGATTTTAAAAAAATACATTCGTCCATAAATGATGGTTTACTTTAAACTTACAACATGTTATGGATTCACACAAAAACACCCCCCCCCCCCTTTACTTTACCTAAAACGAGTGAAT